CGGGGGGGGGGGGGGGGGGGGGGGGAAGAGGGGTGGACATTTTCTGGAACTACACAATACAAGTAAATTGCCTCTTACACCGGAGAAATGCGGGTAGGCTGGTAGAACTGTAACACCATTATCACATCTGGGAAATAATGGCTACCTTTATTTAGCTACCGCGCAGACATGTTCACCCTCCCATACCCGTAGGCAAAGACAGTGTATCTTAAGGTCACAGTATTAACTTATCAAGGTAGTCATCCTTGTTATATCTTTCTTTCTGTGGGAGGGGGGCAGTGCATAAGGTTGCTGTGTAGGCTTGATCAAGATTGGTAACTTAAGTTCTATTTAACTATGCCAGTTGGAATTCTTATTCGCAGTCTATGTTCTTGTTATTCTAATCATTTTATGTTTCATAATCCCTGAAGAGGGCCCATAAGGGGAGTGCATTATATTAGCCAGTATCATTGTTATGGGGTTAAGACAAGAAACATGTGATCACGGTAAAGATATAATATTCTCTTCTCCATCCAGAGCCTGAGAGATCAACTGGTCATTGCTTTAGAGAATGAGAGGAAAGCAAGAGAAGAAGTAGAAAAATTAAGGGAAGAAATAAGAGCTGAAAGGGAATCAGTTCAAGCTGCAAGACTGATACAGAGGCAGAAAAGAGAGGTTGAAATTAAAAGGCAAATGGATACATTCAGTCACTCAAAAGAGGCAATGAATCAAAGACTCGATTCTCTTGTCACATCCTTAAGTCATCTCTCCAAGGTTCAAGTAGAGATTGGGGGAAGAAAACTTGGTAGGCATAACTTTTTTAGTTAACTTCTTATGCAGTCACACCTTAGGAATAAAATTTAGGGGAAAACTTCTCTGCTTGAGCCTCAGCCTTCTGGTTGTCTTCCTGTGCACAGATAATCACATTCTGAAGAGTACACAGAAGCCTCCTCACAAGTCCCCTTTAATCATATGGATACCATTGTGGTTTTTGAAAAAGTGTTAACCTAAAAGTTCTTCATTAAAGTTCATTTTTGTTGTTCTTTAAATGTTTGATAAAAATGCTTTGTAATTCGCTAATAAGAAGCCTTACAGAAAGCACTTCTCAACTATGAACTTAAGTTATTTTGTTGATTTTCAGAATTGGATACAAATGATGGGATTTCAGAACAAGTAGTTCAGCTGAAAAAGGTACCCTTTCAGCTCATCATGTAATTACTACTTTCAGTACACATTCTTACAACCTTAAGATCTATAATAAAATGTTTTTCATCACTAACTTTTAAGTGTTGATTTTTTTAGGCTTTTGATGAATCAGGAAGGCAACTTGAAAAAACTTATAGGAATACCTTGGAGGTATAGAAAAGGTTATTTCCTTATATTAATATGTCCTAAGCCACTGCCTTTACCAAAATGAAAGTTTTGCAAGGTTACAGTCATGCATTCCTTCGTTTTTTCTTCGTTACATTGGACAAAAATTATTGAGAAGTTTGATGACAGATTCATGAATTACTTTAGCTATTGTTTGTAAGGTCTTACAAGAGTAATGGCCTTATTTTTTGCTTCTTTACCACCTCGTGGAAAGAGATTTATATGATTTAATGTCAAGATTAAGCTGCTGTCCTCTAAAATGTTCTTTTTCTGTTTGCAGATGTATGTTCAAGAAGTAGAAGACCTGAAGGCTGAATGTTCAAGAGGAGATTTCCTTGCCAAGGTATTTGAAAACTTAAGCATTTCAATCCAGAGCTGAACACTCTTTAAAACCCAGTCAACTCATTTGTGCTTGGATTTGCATGGATGAAGGGCTAGCACTCCCAACATAATCTCTTGAATACTTTTATGATAGCTCGTCTAAGCTGTCCTCTCAATCAGGGCGGATAAAGGTTGGGCGGTGAAACGAGCGCGTCCGAGCAAAAAGGTGTGATGCAGTGGACTGGGACTCTGCTTAGAAATGTCGCTTGTTTCCGACTTCGGTCAGGGCTTGCGATGTGGTTTATACATTAGACACTGCCGCTGTCACTGAATTATAGCGGCTTGATTTGTTTTCTTGCACTTCTTCCTCGTTCGTTTGTGCTGTTACGCTGTCTCCGAGAGGCAAATGTTGCCATTTTTTGTGGGAGGTTAGTTGGAGTAGACAAACATCTCTTTCAAAGGGTTTCTTTTATTACATTCATGACTTTACCACTGAATTATATTTTCGTTTTGCTACTCGCCAATGTCGATGTTATTCCAAAACAAAAACTGCTAAGTACTGTCTAAAACACGAAGGAAAATCTCATCCATGTCATCCATGGCAAAACTAAAAGACAGCAGATCGTGCTTCATAACTAGATGACGTGTATTTTATAAATGCGTGCAGCTCGTGCAAGGTGAAATTATGCTAATTTAAATCACCATCATCGTTCTTTTTAATTTTGAAAAAAACATCTCATACGTCTTTCTGTTTCTTCGAAACTTCAAAATTACTTTCCCCTCAGTTTTTACTGTTTACCTTGTTTTGTTTTAGAGAGAAAAACGGAGAAAAAACCTTACAACTAACCTCAATAAATTTTGTTTACATGCGGTTGCCGGATTTGCAACGCATTGCGCGAATCGCCATGGCGCGTTGCACCCGAGAAGCAAAGTTTGAAGAAGTACAACGCCACTATATCAATATATATCAATCTAATTTTTTGTTATGTTATACAAAATTTATCCCCCTTTAACATATGTAAAAATTGAGGTTAAGAAGTGTTAAGCTTTTGCAAACGAAACGGCGAAAGACGACTAGGTGATATTTAGTGGAAGGAAGAGGTATTCAACACTTTCAAATTAAACTCAAATTTTGGCATTATAGGACCAACAAGTTTGACTTATAGACGTACAGACACAAACATATGAAACTGTTTATTGATATTGTTTTGAAACGAATTTATCTATTTAACATTATAGCCTGAAATTACAGAAAGAAAAGAGGATTTCCGGTTTGCAAAAAGAAAAATTTCGCCGGCCTTCAAGCGCACCGGAAGCGCGGAAAGAGCGCTCGTGCCAGTCCTACTCCGCATCACACATTAAATGAAGAGCGGAGCGCTCGTTTCACCGCCCAACCTTTATCCGCCCTGCTCTCAATTGTTGAAACCAGTTCTTGTGTTCCATTATCACACAAATGCAGCAGAAAGTTTATTTAAAATCCTTCCTTTTCATTTACTTATACCTTAGATTAGACCTTATATAGATTTAGGGAGGGCTAAAAGCGAAGCTTCCGTTTATATACTTCTCATAAAAGTAGCAAACTTTAAACTTATTAACTTAAAGCCATGACAAAGAAATATTCAAATCCCTACTTGACATTTGGAGCCTTTCATTTACCTTTTGAGGAGAAAATATCCCACAAACACCACTGAAATGAATAGACTCTCCCATCGAGCTCAAAGCTAGGCTTCTGTTATTTAAATTATTGCACTAAATGGTGGCATATTTTACAGTTACAAAATTAGGAAAATGATCAGTATTAGACGGCAGGGTGGAAAATGATCGATTTGAACGTGTACAGTAAGCCGAAGATAAGTGAACAATACTGCTTTGAATTAAAGGGAAGATTGGGTTGTCAGGGCAAATTCTTTTTACATAATGTGACACAAGCATCTTTTCGACTTTGCTTTAAGTTCGCCATCCCTGCCTTAGCCAGTGCTTCTTCGTATGAAGTAAAGAGATAAATAGCGCAGAGGGCGCGCTTCTGGATTTTCTCCATGTCATTAGCGAGATAATTGGGAAGATAAGCCAAATCAGCAGCTGCTTATTCAAGTACCGATCTGACAAGCTAACAGTAGACAATAACAATAATACGTATATTTAGCCAGGGCTAAAAGCGAAACTCCCATTAATAAATTTGAAATTTAAATCAAACAATAAACTTGTATTCCACAAATCAGTTAACTTTGGAGCACATTCATTTGACTTTGAGGGATGGAAAGTTAAGTAATTTTATAGAAAAATAATTTGCAAACAGTCCAAGAGTGAACCAAATCTTACATGGAGTTGATAGCCTATATGTACACCCAAAAAATAGCGATCATGTTCGATCACATTTAAGAGCCATAATGACAGGGTTGTCACTAAGGGCCGGAGGCCGGGGATTTCCCCATGGCTACTCAGAGCATGGCCCCCGGCTACTTTCGTCGTTCAATTAAACCAAAAGAGCACACCTTTGAAACACACAAAGATTAATGTATCCATCAAACTAAATGCAAGTTTCATCTGCAGCAGGTTTAAGTAATTTTGAAATACTCGCGTGCAAACACTAAGAAATGTCGGGAAAATACATCTGACTTAGATTTGGTAGTAGTACACACGCGCGTAGGGGAGTTTTAGCAACGACGACGGCGAAGGCAACGAGAACGTCAAAAAAGCAATAGGTTTATTGAGCAAAACAACTAGTTTGCACGCGCATCACGCTTTTTTGTACATTTCTTTGCCGTTACTGCACGACTACGACGTGAAAATGCCTAGTTTCACGTTTTATGGAGGACGTAAAACAAGCGACGTCAAACTTTTCTTTCTCTTTCTAAACTTGAGTGCGGTCCCAAAGAAATCAAATCCAGGGAAATTGGCCTATGTTAGCTATTTTCTGCGAATTGAAATAAACGCGACAAAGTTGGGAAAAAAAGCCAATTCATTTTAAAAGTGACGTTTTCGCTGCCGTTACCTTTGCCGATGCTAAAAGTCCCTAGTTTTAACCTTTGTGTCGGCTTTGTGTTGAACATGTCGAAGAAGTGGCCAAGGAATCTGCACTCTTTGTTCACGATGAAAGACCTGAGCAGATCTCTGTTGACATAACAAGTTGAGGCTTCATCCGAGCGTTAAATCTCGCTGATGCTGAGAAGGGGCTCCATGACTGCTTGCGACTTCCCCGGCTACTAAAAACAAATACCCGGCAACTTGAAATCTTAGTGACAACCCTGCATAATGGCTCTTGATCACGGTAGATTAGGCCTGGAAAACAAATCAGGGCGAATTTTTTGCGTTCGACAAGCTTCCTTTACAAAATCTTGCTAATAAATCTGTGGGCGTGTAAACCAACCTTTTATACTTTTTAAACATCACATCTGAGGTAAAAGAGTACTATGAGGCGCTGTTTGTATCATACAGACCTCGGAAAGACTGCAATATTTCACAATTTTGGAATACGAATTGCACTCATTCAATATTCAGGACGATCGAAGCACGATTGGGCTTTTAGCGTAAAATCACCTATACGGCCAGCCGGTTGTTACCTGTGGAGGGTTTGAATGAACATTAATAGATTTACGCTTCAACATTATAAAGAATTATCATGTTTCTTTTTATTTAGTGGTCTTACAACGATGTTTAATCTTCAAAAGCGTTTGATACGCGCGGCATTTTGAGTACTCGTACAAGCGATGTTCATGAACGACTGAAAACAAACGGCACCTCGATTAAAATTGCAAGAGAGACTACTTACAACCAAGAAAAGAAATATAATTCGGGGAGACGTATACAGAGAACAATTTTCACGAAGACAAGTCTTCAAACTTAAAGCTTAAGTTTATGTTTTAAGCCGGCTTCCCAGTGTTTGCTTTTTTCAAAGATGAACTCGAGGCAATAAAATCGCTCAAAGCTTTCTTTCACAGCCAGAATTAAAACAAAATATTCTTTGGAACGTTTTCTTTCTTTTTGCAGTGGGAAAATGTCTAAAGGTCTTTTAAAGTTCTGTAAGCTTATATCAAACCTGATACTCGGTCAGATCCGATTGTCTCAAATCTTACAAACGTGCATAAACTAAATAGCCGCATAAACTACGCTCGACTTCGTTAAATTAGACATAAAGAAACAAACATCAAATGCAATAATTACTCAGGCTTACCATTCAAGATGCAGCTTCTGGAAGCTATCAAGTAAGGTTAGAATCGCTTCAGACTTTTCAACCCTCTTATGCATCAAGCAAGTTGAAAAACGAAAACGATGCCATCCGAAATCGGATTTCCGACTTTGACAAGTGAAGTATTTCTAAACCAAAAACCCAATAAACAAACTAGCCATGAATAACAGAAGACTCTTGATAGCAGCTGAATTTCATTTTGTACATCCAGTAGAAAAAGACAGTTAAAAGCATCACAAGTTGACACAAAACTTTGTCAGCTTCAGCTGTCAAAGTAAACAAGTTTCAAGATGCTGCATAAATTTCCGCATGAACTCACCTGTCAAATTTTGACCAATCAGAGCATAAAAATTTGGACGTAGAGAGTGACCATGGTAAGAAAAGTCAAAAGCAACTGTCTTCCCTGCCTGTAATAGCTTGCTGAATTTTCGCGTCCGAGGTCAGTTTGAAATCAAAATTTAAATTGTGCGGCTCGCAAACACAACATATTTCATGAATTTAAAAAAAAAAAAAAACTTGAGCCAGCGATCATTTGAAAACTGGTAACTTGTCAGCGGATAACTCCTAAAATATTCCACCTCGATAAGTGGACACCTGAGCCCACGATACGGTCAGGTGATACTGGTCAGCGGATACACTGTTTTGACAGCTGTCAATTGACCGCAACATTGATGTGCAATATGTGTGCAATATCAGTTTTCCTGTGCTCCCAAACTACCTAGAAAGTGTGAGATTAAATATTGGTTTCCCTGTTGTGCGGACGGACGGTCGGGCGTATAGTTACGTGATTACCAAATTTTCTCGGATGGGTAGATTACCACATTTCCTTAGCTATGGGGCTCCGTCCACGCGCTCGAGAAGCGCGCGCTTCGAGCTCCGCTATCATCCGGATGGACTCCACTCTTCGGCCTAAGATTTCTCAGAGCGTAGGGCCTTCTGTTGGCTTTCTGGATAACACAATAGCAGTGAACCACCCGTGATAGATCTTTGGTAACACCGAGCAACTTAAATTAATCGAAGGACTCAATGTACGTGCCGCCAGTGCCAATGGGCTGCCACACGCAACTGTTATCGCTAAGAAAGTCAAAACTGTAAGTTCTTTCCATTTTTTGGGATTATAGCTTTATCATGTTCGTCAGAACGCATCCTAATCTGGTGTTCCTATGGCACTAAGGCAGAAGTTTTTGAGCAATCACGGGCGACTGTAAATTAGGCATCTCTTTCGCAGCAAATTGGACTCCTTTAGACTCGTTTTCGTGCAGATGTCATGCTCATGCGTGGTCACGTTCTTCGGCTTTGACCTCTTTCTTCATCGCTTGCGTATTTCGCGGACGTGGAGTGTGTACATGGTATATAAGTTAAGTATCCTGTAAGACGTAACGTTTTTCAGGTGTCTTCTAGGTTGTATCAATCCAAGTGTTGGTGTTGGTAAAATGTGTGTACGACTCGGCCTGATTTCATTATAAGCTTTTCAAGGCTGTTATTCTTCGCTGACTGGCAACTGTTTTTGTCACGTTGTGTTCGCTGTGAAGAATCGCGAAGCTTTTGTACCATATCAAACAATTATAAGCTTTTCAAGACCGTTGTTCTTCGCTGCCTGACAATTGTTTATTTCACGTTGCATTCGTTGTAAAGAATTGCGAAGCGTTTGTACCATATCAAACAAAATTTTATAACCCACGGAGTTGTTGTGCTCGGCGATGCCTTATCAAAAGGAAAGAGCTCTTTTCCAATTAAACTTATCGAGGTGTGTAGCTCGGCGGCTGTTATGTCAGGTTGTTATGATAACTAAATATAATAGTATTAAAAAAGAATTTTTTTCTCTTTACCAAGCGAAACTTTTCAATTCTATACAGCTATTTCGAGAAAGGTTGTCGGAAAAAGTCACGTGACAATCCCGAAAGGTATAGCTGTGGGTGGTTTTGAGTTTACTGTTCTTTAAAGAAATTTTGAAAGAATGGCACGAGAGGCCATGGACGTATGTTTGCGAGTGCTAAAGGAAAGCAACAAAAGTAGGTTCGACAGCTACAGCGTCAGGAACAGTGTATTGATAATATCCCATACCTTTCGGGATTGTCGCGTGCACATTTTTTCCGACAACCTTTCTCGAAATAGCTGTATACTGTGCACATGTAAACAGTTCAGGTTCATTGCGCAAGCAGTTAAAGCACTCTCTCTGTTATTCATCATTTGATTGACATTGTTAAAGCTGAAGCAATTTGTTTTTTCAAATCTTGTTTAATAAAATTCACTGGTTCCTCTTCCCAAAGTTATTGCTATGTTAAGAGCTAGTGGACTAATTGCAAATCCTGTATTTTCATTGGCTTCACTACTACAAGACTATTAAAATCAGTCCTCTAGCAGTGAAAAAAACACAATCGATCAAGGCGCGTTTCTTTCCCTCCAAAAAATGTTTCAACTACTATTTAATAACATTATTATTACCTTTTTGTCTGACTAATTGGGTAATAGTGAATTAGACCCGTTGCCCTCAAGGAAAACAGCTGACCTACCACAAAGTAAATGGCAATAGGCTACATCTGAAGGATACTCGCAACAAAAACACCCCCTTCAAAAAATTTAATTATCTAATTATCTCTTGCAAGTTAGAGAGGAATGCTTTGAAGTATGTTGGTCATAAGAACAATTTTATAGCCAAGTTTTCCATATCATACGGGTGCTATCGGCCTGAAAATGGTTGTAGCTGTTGTAAACTCGAGGAAAGTTAAGTTTTACGTTAAAAATTTTCGATTCTTCTTTGCCGTTGCCGCGGCATAAAGAGAGGGTTACCGATTGATTCAGTACAGCAAACGTAAGCCGGAAAGCCGTCAGCTTAATGGGTTTGGAAATCATATTATGAGATGAAGAGGTATACAAATCAATTTTGATATCTCCAGAGAATACAAGACTTTCACTTATCGAGAATTTTTAAGGCGCCGGTGGCAGGAAAGCAAACGCCGAGTTCTCATGCAAACCAGTCAGTGCACTTAACGGCCGTGAACTGAAACCAGTTCACACTGCACAAAACAGGGTGAAAATCAAGCGGGTAGAATGAGCTATCCTCACAAAAATTTGTCGTGAAAGAACAATAATAAACAAACCTCGATCCTTTATTTACCTTTCCAAAACAAGTAGCATATGCCTGAATACATATTACTTTCTCGAGTTTTAGCTCATATTCAGTTGTTCCGTGGACCAAAGATGAAGATATATAATACATTAGCCCTACCCTGGTGAGGAGTTCATTGTCACAGGTAGTCACATGACCAGCTGCAACCAGGGTTCTTTCTCGAAGCAATAGTCCAGTCAATTTAGGCATTTTGGAGGCTCAAGATCAAACTAATTGCAACAGAATTGTTTTCAAGTCATTTAAGTAAGGGTGGCCTATGTAGCAACATACTAAAAATCCGCCAAAATCCGTTCTGCGGAACATGTCAAAATTAAGCGTTAAACATTTTGAGCTTTTGACACAGGGCACCCACGTTTTATTATACGGTTAAACAAAATATACTTTTATGGAAAAGTGCAAGAAGAAAGAATAACTGGTACCTAGTTTTCGCTGATAAAAGCGAAGTGTTTCTTTTTTCAAAAGGAATAAATATTAACCATGGTTGGCTTTTGCACAGGAAGCCCATGTCCCACTCAAGGAACCCTAAAACAACAGGAGGCTTTCAAAGTAATAGAGTGAACTGTTGGCTGTAAAACTACGACAAATTTAGTCGTAAGGCTTTGAATCTGAAAAATGAAAGCCGTTGCTTAATCATTAGCTTTTAAAAGATATCCTTTTTTATCAGATTTCTGTTAGCGTCAAGGGTAAGAAAAATATATATCAGAGCTGGATTTTTGAATAACGTTACAGCCAAAACAGAGCTCTCCCCTCAAACAGTTTTTTTCTTTCAACAACTATCTGCAAAGCTTGAAGTCAACATAAAGACTAAGAGTACAGCCATTGTTCTTCTTTCTTCTCGTTTCTTTCTCCTCGCTCTTTCTATTTTTCCTTTCCTTGTTCTTTTCTAAGAGGATTTTTGGGCTCATTTTCCCTTCGGCTTTTGGTCTTTTTCTCAGTGAAAAGACTGCAATTTTCGTTCGGTACGTTTTCAAAAATCCAGCAAGATAATGTTTTGGCTTTTACGGTTACCTATACATTAATTTTTGTTAACGTACCAACATCCTCAAATATACAAGTTTCACTTTTTCGAAGCTTTTCATTTTCTTCGTGTTAAAAGTGAATTGGAGAGGAGGGGAGGATAGTTTTACTAATTCTTTACGACGCACAACAATGCAGAGTTTTTGAACAGGTTAAGCTCCAGTGCCTATGAATTTGATGAGAGGGAAATGTCTTTTCATTAAAGGAAAAGTGTTTTTACCTTCGCAAAGGTTAACGGAACATTCATCGCATAAGAACTTTGGTTCTAGCAAACGTTTGTTTCAAGAAAACGAAATAGTGTAATAGGGAAGCTGGTTTTTAAGGGAAAGATTAAGAGTGTAAGAGTCTCTGGAGTAATGGAAATTCCCCACGGAGAGCATAATTCAAACAACTCAGTCAGAAGGTTAACTTGCAGTAAGTTGAAGTGTTACACAACGCTCATCCGAAGAGAAATATGGGTTCCGCAAAAAGAGGTGACACATCAGAAGCTAAGTCAGGCAAGCCCATTATTAATGTCGTACATATGTACTTTACTTTCGCGCCTTCACTGACCACTGCAATTATTTTCAGATGTTTAGGATCCCATGATTGTCATAGAAAAAAGAGGTCTTCATTTGCTAATGGACGAAAAAAAAAAACTGGTCGAGGTTCAGGGTTGTTCTCACAAAAGAAATGCAAGGAGGGAATATAAATGCCTTTAGACCACAAGCAATTAATCTTATTCATCTTACCAAGAAATAAAGAGCTGCCGCAGAAAATACAAATTAAACACACAGATACACCAAACTAAATCTGAGCCTCGCTACAAGAAGAAGATAAAACAAGAACAATCACACTGCGTTGGTTTTCTGGTTTTCCTTTAGAACAGATTCGGCCAGGTGTAATGAAAAGCGCAGAGAGTTATGATCTAGCAAAAACCAAATAGACAGAGTCCTAAGCAGAATATTTATTCACTTACATTGGAAGGTACGGAGTCATAATCCTAAACGAGGTTGCGCATGTCGTGAAAAAAAAAAAAGAATCCCTGATTTCGATCACCCATATTGTGTGCAAGGTTTGAACATAACTACCTCACAAAACTCGATTTCAGAAAATGGGAATAGGTTAAACAGTTTGTATTGAGATACAAAGCTATCGTCCGATGCACACATTTAGTTCCACGTATCCTGCAGCATGCATGCAAATTTAGTAGCTGACTGAAGGTGAACAAAATATCAAATCAAACTGTTCACCATCAGTCAGCTACTAAATTTGATTCCGTGCTGCAGGATATAAAAAAATTACAAGCCTGTAAAACTAAAAATACTTTTTGCATTTTATTGCGCAAAAATAAAATAAAATTACTAATATTTTTAATCATGTCAACACAGACTGACTAATGATTTCCCTTTTAAATACCGTCATTGACTATTTTCCAATTGCCCATAATACACTCTGTTTGCCCCCCAAATTTTGCATAACTTATTGTCTTAAAATGCTCTTGGGAAAATGCAATACTACCAGGAGCATTTAAAAACAATGGTTTATGCAAAATTTGAGGGGCAAACAGAGTGTATTATGGGCAATTGGAAAATAGAGAATAGAAAAAAAAAATTACAGCTTTAACCGCCGCCTGGTTAGCTCAGTTGGGAGAGCGCCGGTCTGCTGAGCGGGAGGTCGCGGGTTCAAACCCCGCCCGGACAAACACTTAGGGTCTTTAAATAACTAAGAAGAAAGTGCTGCCTTTGTAATGACATCTGCAAATGGTTAGACTTTCTAGTCTTCTCGGATAAGGACGAAAAACCGTAGGTCCCGTCTCACAGCACTTTCACTGATCTTTTCTTGTGGGACGTAAAAGAACCCACACTACTGAGAGTAGTGGAGAGTAGGGGACGTAGACCCCGGTGGTGTGGCCAACCTATACGGGTTATGGGATTGGGTAGGGATGGCACCTTGCATGGGACCTATGAGTCCCGTTCGTGCCTATTTCCTCTGGGCAGGCCTGTGTCCAGAAAAGATTGTAAAACCAAAAAAAAAAAACTAAAAAAACTAAACGAATGGCTGGGTAACCTGTGCAAGGCCGTAAAGACGAAACACTGACCCAGGTGTTTCTCACCATTTAGTCGGCGTTTTTAAACCAAAACTACCCAAAATACATTAGCGTTGTTGTATCGAAAATTCTTGAGGGAAAAAAAAAATTATCAAATGTTTTATCTGAATTTGTGATCTTCCTGCAGTTGGGTGTCCTGTGGTGAAGGTTGAAAATCTTTATTGCCAATTTTTTCATGTTTCACCGAACCGATTTTGGCGGATTTTTAGTATGTTGTTACAAAGCCATTCAACAATAACATGGCGTTGAAAAAAAATTCTGTTGCAATTAGTTTGAAGCTAAACCACAATTTGACTGGACTACAAGAGAGAGAACTCTAGGAACGAGGTTGTCAAAAGAATCATGGCAGAAAGCACATAACAACATTCTAAATCCTCCGAAAACTGCAAACATTCACTCGCTAGATGTTCTAGAGATTTGCATTTTCAGGCTCACATAAATAACTTTCTTGGTAGCTTACCGGCGAATGAAAAGCACTACTTTTAAACTCCCAACTCCCACAGGATTGTTTGGAACACCAATATGGCCGCCGTTTCATTGTTTTGGAACACCAATGAGGCCGCCGTGACGTCATGTGAATACGCTCTATATTGGGCTCACCGCTTTCTTTTGTCCTTTATCTCAAGTCGACTTCCCCAAGCTTTGATTTTATCGCAAACTTACTTTGACGCTCTTTATTTTGATTGTATTCCAGCACGTGCCGGCTGAGTCGGCTCGTAGTGCTTTAAATTGTTAGGCCGTATTAAAGTTTGTTTCTTTTGGACCTACCTGAACTTGACCGATCCTTACTTATCTCCCCGGTGCCGGAGAGATAAGTAAGGCTTTTGGTCACGCTATGGAAGTCGTCCGCCACGCCGATCGCGGAGCGGTGGTCTCTCTTTGCACCATATGTTTTGTTGTCATGTTTTTATTAGACGTTAATTTCAAGCCAAAAGAACTGCGGCATTAAATACAATTTGATGGCCGTTCTTTTCTTTTGCATATAGCTGCTCATAAACCATGGTCCTATTGCATCATACAGTGAACTAGTACAGATTTTGTTACTGACAAAAAAGAGTATGGTATACATGTACCAGTAGTAAACTTTACACATGGAGACACAAAGCGCAGTAAGGTTATAACTGATTTGGTGTCTACATGTATTTTTGTTAATGTAATTCTTAGGCGAGAACCCAGGAGGCGGAGGCATTGAAGGCACAGATGTCTGATCTCAAGAAAAGATATGAGGATGGAATAAAGGTGCTTTTAGGTTTTGAATTTATAGGTCTAGGCCAGGTTATTCTAAGCAGGGTTGGGTTTACTGGGGGTGGGGGGGGGGATTTAGGAATTTAGGACTGGGGATACAATGTGTTGCTGGGACCCTGAAATACTTAGCCTATACCAGACCTAGAACAGTTGAATTTTTCTACCGTACACTAGACTACTGGATTCTTAAAATCCATCCCTATCTTATCCCTCATTTAAATCTTCAATGGTCAATTGATCAGTATCCTGGAAAAGGATACCCTATTCTAGACCCAAACTCTGTAATTTCTATAGGCTATCCTAGATTAAACTGCTTCAAAGTCATACCCTTCACAACATCACAAACCCATATAGTCCATATAAAGCAGTTCCGCCCAACCACCCCCCCCCCCTCACTTAATCCAACGTTTCCTCATTCGATCAATGGAAAAAAAGACCCTAGTGATAATCCGATCTCTGTAAATTATAAAGGATTTCCTTGATTAAACTTCCTCAAAGGTAGTCCCCTCACAACAACACAAACCCCTTATATCCCTAAAAAGCAGTTTCGCCCAACCTCCCCCCCCCCCTAAGTTAAACTAAGGATAGTGAGAGATTTGAATCCAAATCTGAATTCAGGTGCATGCTTTTTGCCCACAATTTTATTACAACGACTAGTTAAAATTCTCTCTAGAAAATGAATCTGGATTAAATTGCAAACGAAGCCTAGAGATGTTAGAACTGTCAGTCATACTAAGGTCAATTCAATTTCTTTTGACTCCACATAATGTTATATCTCTCTGATTTCGTCAAAACGTGGCCACTAGGTTTTTGCCCGGCACCGGGCGGAGCCCGGCTCCAGGCCAGTGCAGCGTCCTAAAAAGCACGGGGCTTAGCGTCTTGGTCGGCACAGCTGGGTGGATCAGGCCTGGGGGGGGCAAAACTAGTGGGGTAGAGAGGGGCCTGTTTAGACACAACCCCTTCAGTAAACAGCAATGTTCTCTAGAGGCTTTGACTGGCAAGTATCTTGTTCTCACTTTGCCCTAGCCAGCTGAATCAGGGCTCTGCTGAGAATAATTATCATGATAATTGCATAGTTCAGTGGGAGGCGCAGACAGATACCCATTGTCCTTGGTGGGGAGGGTCAAAGTCTTGGTACCAAGGACACACTTAGCATAGGACCTGTAGACACTCACTGCAGCCATGTGTACATAAATTCAGTCAAATATAGTTAGTTTGTTTGCGATACCATATTTATCCAAAGTAAGTAATTTTTGAACGTTTGCTTATCCACCCTTAAGTGTTATTAAGATTTAAGTGTTTTGGTTACAGGCTCAAGTTAATTACATCTCACAGCTTCAAGCAAAGTTTGATCACCTTCAGCGATATGCTGTTACGACTGAGGAGGTAAATATATGCATCAAAATACTCAGTAGAGCAAAAAGTTCTTCAAATGGCTAGTACTTTGCTCCATACCGCTTTTCTCCATGCATGGTTTTCAGCAATTTACCATTATTTTTGTTACAGTTACTGTTCATCGTCTTCATTTTCAGAAATACTTCTTGTCTCTTGTTATTGGTGTAAAACTCAACATGGCAGTGTGTGGCTACAGGGTTGGACGCACGAATCACCTGAAGCCTGAGGTAATACGCAACAGTACCAATGTGTATGATTTACGTGAGCTCTAAATGTTATAAATGGCTGTATTACCTCTAATTTTAATTAATGGTGCTTTAAAAAGTGGTTTTATTGCATCAAGGTACGTTCTGGGTTTGGGAATGAAAATACTATGAAGAAAAATGCCAGTTGAAGTTGATGTTCATGATATTAACTGAGTGCTGTTGTCCTAAGTGGGATCAGTCATTGTCACTTAAAAGCGATTTTTTGTTTTTTGATTACTGTCACCTATGTAATCTACTTATGACCTGGCCAAGGCTCAAACTACTTGCTATTAAATTTATATTTATTTTGAAATTATTTCGGTCTTTCAGTCTTCCTTTTTAAAAAAGCAGTATTTTACTTGATCTCCTGAAATTTCTGTTCTGCCGACAGGGCTGTCATTGAATGCCGGGGATTTCACGCAGTAACCTTGAACACGATCCCCGGCTAATTTCAAATAGAAAAATAGAGGAAATAGAGAACCAAAAGAAGTCAATAGATGTTTGATTCCATGTCTACTCTGTTTATTTACCCGGCAAACTGAATTCCTAGTGACAGCACTGTGCTGATCATGAATAAATGTTCTTATATTAAAGCATCGTCGAAAACAATATATACTACAGTAGATTTTGTTATATTTGAATGCTGAACAATGATTTTTTTTTTTTGACAGAAACTCTTAGAACGAGTTCGAAATCATGGGATCTCAATAGAACATTGGCCCAGTTGGTTGTCAAGGGAACTATCAACAGGATCAGCGACACCTGAACACGAGGATGAGGGTGATATTGATTAATAATGATAACTCATAATAAACTGCTAGATTCTCCTTCTGTATGAAATAAAAGGAGAATTTGACTTTAACCAGAGAGTCATTAAGCGCCATATTTTTCATACTCTTCCTCAAATTCATGTAGGGCCATGTGTTATGATTGTGGTCTTGAGTCTGCTATGTTGTATCTGTTTTTGTGGGACTATTTCTACAGGTGCATGTAGAATGCATGTTTATATACATTAGGGACGGACGATTACAAAATTTGTGGATGAATAGGCCATTCCAATATTCCAGTTTCCAAAAACTCTCCCTTTCAAAACGTGGCAAAGTGCAAAACCTTTCTTACGAAAATGACTTTTATTTGCTTGCGAATAAAAATCATTTTCACATCAATATAGCTTCGCACTTAGCTTCCCTTTGAAACAGTGGCTTGAAGCAACTCGAAAATTCCCTATTGAAAACGTGGAAAAAATGCATTCCACTGGAACAGAGTGAGCCGACTAAAGAAAACAAAATGCCCACATGGTATTTACCCCCACTCCTTCACTTTTCTAATGGTCCGTCCCTTAGTTTATAAAATTATCAACAAAGGGTGCATGCCTTTTTTTGGAAAATGTAGTTCTTATAAAAGACTAATGAAAAAAAGAAAGGATTAATCCTCAACAGAGTTATGTTTAAGCTATGAAGGCTGTTAGTGTCCTCGCTGGGTTGTACTTGTCGTGCATTTTACTACTCAGTTAAAATACCATTGTCTACAGAGGGGCTACCTCAAAGGGGGCTACCTCAAAACTTTAAACTAGGCATCCAATGAGTTTTAAAACGTACGTGCAGTACTAATAATTTAAGGTAGTTCCCTTTAAAAGGATGTACTATCCAACTTTTTTTTCAAACTTGGCACAACTGTCAACCATATATAGGACATTCAAAAAGCTGCAAAAAAAGATGGGGTCACCGCGCTTGTTTTTGCCCTCTGTGACCGTAATTGTGTTTTTTCTTAGTTGCGTGCGAAATGTTCGAAAACTCGAACATCCGTCAAAAATTGTTATCAGATAGTATAAACTGTGAATCTTACTAAAACCTAACACTTATTTTTTTGTCTGGGCTATAATTTTTCAGTAATGACTCTTGACAAAATGGAGGGAAATGGACAGTTTTAACATTTCATACTTCCCCGTGGCTCTAAAGAGTTTCATTTCATTCATATCTAAAACTTTACAACTTTTACTATCTAGATTTTTTCTCCTTAACATATATTTTTTGTGTAGCCAAAGCGAGTAATTAAAAACGGGGGATCACTGTTCTCGTTTCATCGCAAAAAGACGACAAGGGGACAATTTATTGGACTGAGAAATCAGCAACAAACGCAGCCAAGTCTTGAAAGCATTTTTCAAATGTCTTCTATCTCGTGAAACACTCTGTGATATGGCTGATATTGTATTGGTGATTTGAAAGATCAGTAAAGAAATATAAAGCAAGAGTGCACTGAATTTTATCGTACTCTTTTTAGACAGTCCCTCTGTGTTCCCTCTAGGTTTTTTTATTTTTTTTTGCTCATGGAAAAGGATTAGTTCTTACGTTGTGCTTAATGACTGGATCATTAACTAAATTTTTTGTCGGAAAATGTATCAAAAATTATCAAAAAGCAGAAAATAAAAGGATATTTTCCTTGATGATTTCTAGAAGGTTTGTTGCGACTCCTTAACCTCGAGCAGGTTTTTTCCTACTGTGGGTGGACACGTGCTACTCAGGCTTTCACATATGGAAGTTTTTAGAAGCATTTTGCCTTGCAAGTTAGGGAACAAAAACAATTTATAATACCCGGCTCTACGTTCCAAGTACTACACCCGTCCCCCAGAGGGTGGGAAAGGTCTGTACCGCAGTGACGGGTAGGGTATTCAAGCATTTTAGTCTCGGGTAGCCTCTGGGGATAGGTTGTAGAAATCAGAGTTTGGGTCTAGAATAGGGTTACATTTTCCTGGAAACTTATTAGTTGATTAAAGATTTTAGTCAAGACTGGGGAAAACAGCATTTGCCACTCAAAAATTAAATTGGCAAATTTAAGTTTACCCGCAACTCATTTTAATTGCTGGTTTTCAGTGTCACGCCATCCAAAAAAAGATCAAAATAAAAATCAAAACCATTCGACAGGTAAAGTCCAGAATCTGGGAAATGAAAGGAGGTAAATATGCAAAGATCCTCGCCAAGATTTGGGTCGAAGGAGTAATTCTTATACGAGATATCCGAGGAAATGTTTTTCCCAAATTTATAGAGCTTTGTTGAGACGCCATGCTGCATGCCATCCGGATGAGCTCTAACGTGGCGGACGGAAACAACAGAAACATCTGTTACTGAGTTTTGCTACAAACGCATGAATTTACTCCTAGAGGAACTCACAAACATTAAAGTAATACTTTTTCTAACACTTGAACTGATTAGATAGCAAAATTCTTCGAAAAAAGTCACTTTTTTAACCTAAATGACAGCTTTCTCGGCCGTCATGAAAATGCTGCGTCACGCAAAGCTTAGAAATTCAAGCGTACTTTATTACAAAACCAAAAACCCTTTTGAGGCGAAAATTTGTTTGAAAATTAGTTTTCAGCTGCTCTAATACGCCATGAAAGTAAAATCTCAGTAGGGATCGATAGTTTTGTAGTTTGAATTTTAGTGATGTCATGTGAAAACCAACAATAGCAAAGAAAGCGTGGACCTAAGTAGTAACCAATCTGGGATAGGGAGAAATTTGGAGAGTTTGGTCTAGTAGCGGGGTAGCAAAGTTGAACTGAACTATGCCTGGTGAAGGCTAAGGGTTCCAAGTCCAAGCGACACATCTCCACCTCAAACAAAGATTTCTTAATTGACACCTCCGGTCCCGCCCCTCTGTCAGAAACACCTCAAATTTACCGCCCGTGGGGTATTTTCAGGTGCCTGTATTTTGCGGGATCTTAGTCTGGTCACGATACCCGTTGCGTAACACGTTTGTAAGTATTGACCTTGTCTCAAAGTGGTCACAGAACAAACATTTTCAATAGTTTTCTTTCATTTTACCCTCAAACAAAGAAGAGCAAGCTAGCTAGCTCTGTAAAATGGAGTTTTTGTATCTAGACAATTGTAATAATAGTAGTGATGTATCTAGCGCTTTTGGCATAAATGTCCAAAAGCGCTTTACAGTGTGCGTAGTAAAAAAAATTGTAAAACCTAAGACAAAATTTACGAATTCATCACTAGCGTTTAAAAATTAAAAGTTCTTATTCTAAATATTGAAATACTATTGATAACTACAAAAGATTGGCATACGCCTGTCGAAAAAGATACGTCCTCAACTGTTTTTTAAAGCAATCTTAAGTCTCACATAATCGTATATCCTTTGGTAAAGAGTTCTAACTGAAGAGATGGCGCGGATACCGAAAACGATCTCTAACCATACGAACGTAGAAAATTATAATGTGGTATTCGGTTTAAGGCGTGGGTCAAAGGTGTGTTCGGAGCACGTGAATGATTGGCAATATCTCTCGCTTGGAGACCTAAGACAAAATAAATTTTTCCGCAAGAGTAAATCTTGAGATGGTCACGTGACATGTCACTTGACCAAAAATTGAAAATGAAGAAAATTGGCGGATTGATGGCGAATTTACATTGTTTGTATGAACAAATTGGCATTTCTGAAAAATGATAAATTCACCTTACTTTCTACGTTTGGAATAAATGTACGCGAAGCTTAAAATTAAAGTTTTAAATAATTCAAGATTAAATGTGGCCATTTAAAATGATGTTTTCCCTCATAATTTTTTTTGCAGTGCAATGGACGGTCATTCCAAACGTGAAGTGTTAGAAATATTTGATATGAATTAGAACTGAATGTTATCGCTCGATTGCTTTTCTTAAACCGGCCACCAATTAGTCACAAGTTTACGATTTTTAGCAAAATGGTCAAGTGATATATCACGTGACTTAATAACAATATTTATACTTTAAAATGATAAGGACGATGAGTTCTTTATGTGTGCCAAATTTTCATTCAGCGTCATCATTTATGCCGAAGTTATAGCCAATAAATCATTTTCCAAAGATAAACGCCTTAGTCCCAGGCCTTAAACTATTTGAGCGAATGTTCGAAGACCATTTTTTGGTCGATTATTTGTAAGTATTCGTTCCGCACATTTCCGGGTGCGAACTTCGAGTATGATAAACCTTTAATGCACTACAGGCACAGGCACGTAAAGTTGTTACCCCGTCCACCGACCATTATACTCTGTAAAATCTACGTAAAAACATAAGTAAAATGCAGGTTTTGCGACACTTGTGTTTCTGGATGTCTGGAGAAAAAAAAACCTAAAATCTGGCGTCCTTAGTGCCCTAACTAAGTATTTATCTTAAATGCTGTGGTAGTGTTCAAAGTGTTTGAGATGACCGACTTCTGCATCCGCTCAAGTACGCCCCGAGCTGTCGCTCCTAGTAGCTTCCTCACCGACTTTTCTAGGTGTTTAGAGTAACCACCCAGTACGTCAATTATTACATTGTACTGTTCAACCCTGTAACTGCTTCAGCTCCCACATCGTGGGCCCATACTTGAGCGTCTTTTCCTCATCTTTCTTGGCTCTACTCTCAATCCATGGGCAGCTCACTTCAGTTGTGCAGACTTCTTTCCTCTCGTGGCTGACAAGTCGAGCGTCGATCCGGTTTGCTCTAACTTCGTTGTGCTCTGCATAGATAACAATTATTCACCGAAGTGGAGGTGGCTAGTAGTGGATATTTAGCCAACGACACTGAGGTAGTATATACTAAAACAGTGAGATAATTGAGCGAAAAATGATGATTTTTGACTCATTTACTGTTGCCAACGATTACAATTTTGGCGGGTAATTACCGAACAGCCGCGGTCGTCGCTTTTTCTTGGCGACAAATAAAACTTTTGAAGGCGTTTGTTTAGCCCTTGCGTGGAAGTTTTTTCAAAAGGAGTTGTGAATTTTTTTTGTATTTTAAATCATTCTGTAAAAAAGATTATTAAATTTAGTTTTAAGCTT